GCCCGCCCCGGGCCGCGCAGCGGGGGCCAGGGCAGGCCGCGGCGGCTGGTGAGCGTTGGTAGGGTTGTGTCGCACAAACTAAAATTCACAAGCTGCCCGCCCTTCTCTGTTGTAGTGTGGAAGCCGGTTTGCAGCGCGATGGGTGACGCTCGGGCCCCACAGCAGAACCGCTACTCCAGGCGCTGCAGGGACGCGAGGCGACGCTACAGTCGCTAGGCCGCAGTTCTGCCGTGGCGGCTACAATAGCGAAAATGCCCCCCGCGACCCCGCCTTATCTCTGCCTTGAACTGCAGAGGTGATGGGGTGAGGTGCCTCAAGACGTCAGCACGAGTAGATTGGTTTGAAAACTGGGGGCTTGAGAAGAGGGGCTTCTGGGACCCTGCAGACCCACCAACACCCAACCTGAAAGGCTTCACCACCACTGTAAGACTTAGTAGCATCTTGTTTGTTGGTTTTCAGGATCATGAAGGACTGACATGGTGCTACACACCAATGATTGATAGTTCAGGCAAGGATTACCATCAAGAGCTTGGCTTGATTCGGGAGATAACCTTTTCCATGCCACAATGCTAAAGGAGTATCTGCATCTACAACTTCGGTTTAGTTACAGCCATGGTGCACTTGGGATAGTACTTTTAAGAGCTTGTAGCTAAGGAAATGCATAAAGTCATAATCTCAGCAGTCTGTTTCCCTTTAATTCAGTACAAACTGTAAATAAGAAACATGTCTTGAACTCTCATGTGCTTCAACAGCATAAGCATGAAAGTCTTGTCTCTAGCTCGTGAATTGTCCTTAATTTCATCTGTGTTACTTCTGTATTCTTCCTAATCATCTTTTAAAAATATTTTTCATGTTTTGATGTCTTTGTTATCTTTTCCTCTTTCCTTCTTTGACTGGAGTGGAAAACTGTTGCAAACTGAAACATTTGAGTAGGTATATTTTTTTCACCTCATGTTCTCAGAATTGCAAAGCAAGGTGTTACTCTTCCCTTTCCTGTTCTGTTGCAGAATGATGATGTGGTAACAGCAAAAAATAAATAAAGCAACTTTACTCCACCTTAACAAGTAGATGAATTTTCAAAGAGGCAAAGTGATCTTCCTTTTTACAGGACAAAGCACTACAAGTAATGTAAAGCATAAATAATGTATATAGCAGAAGGGAATGGGATGGTGTCAGACCTTGGGGTTCCCTCTTACACTGAAAGCACCTCAGGGTACATTTAATGGCCAACAACTTGATGACATCTCAGCACTTCTGGCTAACAATGGCTGATCTGACTGCTGAAGATGGTGAGCTGTGTGCAGGCACTGGGTGTCATGTTTACAAACTATTTTGGTCATTCTTAGCAGGTATGTCCCACCTTTCCTCGTTCACTGGAGCCATCTTGTTGTCAGCAGGAGACGAGCTCTGAGACTAAATCTTGGCCTTCCCGAAAGTAGGAGGGCAGCATTTTGCATTTGGAAATCTGGATTTCCATGTAAAAAGTTCTGGGATCTATTTTGATAGAAGATAATTTAAAAATGGTATTATAAAGTGAATAATGGCACGAATTAAGAAGTAATAGTTGTTATGAACTAATCAAGAGTAACGTGGAGTTCAGCTTTCCCTTCTGGGCTCTGGCCTTGGACCCTGGCAACACAATATTCCTTTTTATATAGTTCAAGAAGGAAGCACCTGCAGTGCTTTTAGCTTAAAAAAGCAATACACAGTCCCTGTAACTATGTGACAGCTAAGTACTTTTGAAAATGGGCTGAAGAAACTTAAATTTTAAGTAACAGAAATCCACTGATAGGCACAGAGGTTTTCCCCATTTAAGTAAGCTACACTGGGACCTGACTGAGTGCTGGGGTAATTACCATGTGAAATTGTACAAGCCTGCTTTCATTTTCAGCTGTATTATCAGTTAAAAGTCAGAGCTGCAGGAGATGAATGATGCCACATGAAACCGCCGATTCCTGTAAGGTAGTACAGGTAGAAATCAGGATTATTTCACAGCCCCACATGTCAGCAGTTGCTTGCAGCAGGAGAGGAGCAGGCACTGCAGAGCTCTTCCACTGTCAGTGTTGCCAGTCTGGAGCAGCAGCCTCCTTCCTCTTCCTGCCTCTGGTCAAAAATGCCCTTTGGATTTGTGTTTGCATATGCCTTTTGTTCAGACTTTTGCACGGAGAAGCCATTTTGTGCTAGAACTTGTGGTTTTTTAAAACCAAACACCAAATATAGTAGCAAAATTGCAGTCAAATCCTACATGCTGGCAGCACTTCATGTAGCTTGTGTATCCTGTCATATGATCTAACTTGGTAAAAAAATAAACATGCTCAGCTGAAGCATATAGAAACTGAAAGCTTGCCTGAACACTGCTGCCACAAAGATTTTGTTAATACCACACTGAATCCTTGCAGACAGATTTTGTACAACTTCACCAAATTGGTTGCAGGACAGCAAGAAGCGTTAATTTTGACAAAATATTTAAAAGTGTGTGGCTTTAGTAAGTGTTTTACATTGAAGTAAGGCTTCAGTTTGGAAAAAAAAAAGGTTATAATTTCTAATTTTTTAAAAAATATCTAGTTTCCATTAAGATGGTTTTGCTCATGTTTCTATGTACTTTTCTGCAGTTGTGGTATACTGTTTTTTTTTCTTATGGATGAAAACAGAGACTCTGATACAGCCACATAGCTTCAGAGTAAAGAAGCATATAGGCCACTCTGTTGCAAAAAATATTACAAAATTACAATGACGATCATAAGGTCTGATAAAATGCGTATTACTAAATTAATGACAATCATAAGGTTTTATAAAATGCATAATTCAATTGCAGCTATTTCTACTGTGAAAGAAAGGCCAAATCAGAGTAAACATATGGGCAGAATTCCACTGGACAATTGCAGACAATGGATATACATTTCTGAACTGATTGCTTGAGGGTGACTTTAGAGATAATGGAGAGAACCAGGAGCTTTTACAGCAGAGTTCATCTTGCCAGGAATAGATGTTAACTGTAGATCTGACAAATCATGCTTTAAAATTTCCTGAATTTCTTCATTAGCTGCAAAGGAGGATTAGGCTAAATCATCTATGTTCTAGACCATCCTAGTTAGGTATTTTCATACGTGTATATATAGCTGCATCTGATATAAATAGCTCTCTATATCTGACACAAATGTATAATGCATTTCCCCTCAGTTTGAAAGAATTAGAGACGTTTCAGTCGGTAGAGCCTCTTATTTTTAACAGTAAGACTCTTGATAAGCTGACTTTAAAGGTCCAAGAGGGGAGCTCAGCAGGTCAGAATGGGAGTTACAGAGTTCAGCATGCAGAACTGGAGGGATGGACACCAAGAAGCCTCCAGCAGGAGCCCCCGAAGAGGGAGTTACTCCCAAAACCTTCCCTTTCTCTTGGAGGCAGGACACTGTGTGACACAGGGGTTCAGTTTTTGCACTTGGGCCTGATGCATCAGTGTATATTCTTGCAGATCTCAGGCAATTAAGACAGATTGACACTGAACTATTACTTATTTGTCTGTGCAGGTCATATAATTGTGTGAGGTAAGGTACATTTCATACATTAAGTGATTACCTAAAGTTGGTTCAGAGTGGAGTTTGTGTGCTTTGTAGGCTGTCTCATAAACTCAGCTGCAAATCATCTCTCCTAGAGAAGGTTTGAGATCACAAAAGCTTATGAAAATATAATAGTTCTTTGTACAGAGCATTCACACCCTGCTTTCACCAATTTACAAAATGTAGAGTGGTTTACTTCATTTGTAATGCTGCCTTTTCAATACAGCTGGCTGCAGAATTAAACTCTAATGGAATTAAGGAATCTAATATGAATATGTCTGTATTATCAGTGGGAACAGATTATGACTCACTTGGAAGAGAAACCATTGTTGTGCCCATTGGTGACTAATACAGTTCCAGCTTTTAAAATCCTTTATGTGAATTCAGACCTGGTAAATCTGGATTCAACAAATTTACCTCCTCCTCACTGATAAAAACAAGCACGGCATTGTGTAACCAATGCCCTGTAGCAATTGCACAGATGCATGGTGCTTCTCAGGAAAGCAATTACTGTCTTTTCTTCAAGCTTAGTTCTAAGGCAACCTTCTCACAAAATGGGTGGCTTTGCCAGCTGACTTTTAATTAGTGTTATTTCAGAAATGGAAGAAAGAGAATGAGGGAAGAAGTTACCAAATTGCTGTAACTGCTTAAGCAAGCAAGTGCCTCATCTGTACAATCACTGCAGTCTGTGGACCATCTTGCAGTAGTTCCACACTATGTGAAGTCAAAATAAAGGCACTTTTTTTTTTTTTCTTCCCCCTGAAGAATTTACAGCCCTCTGGCATCATCGTTGTAATAGTTCAGATGGTTTCCTTGTTCAGAAGAAACATGCAAAGGCAGAAGCCAAACCTGAAGCTGCTGAGTGACAGCTGTTCATGACTCTGGACTTCCCTGATCTAGTTACTCTATCTTTAGCAGCTACAGATACTGGCACAGATTTTTTCTGGTGCATATTCTTTACCATACAAATTGCAGAGAGAGCTAGATAGTTGGAGAGTTGTGAACTACTGCAATTAAAAATTTTGGTCTTGTGCCACTATTTAGGGAGAAAATACCAGGCACACCCTTTGACTCACACAGTGTTTTTCATGATCCTCCCTCTTCAGGGCTTCAGGCCCCAGATTTTCTTTTTGTCACTTTTTCCTTACGTGAGTTGCTCCCCATGCCCTTCACTTTAACTTAGTCCCATAAGCTTCCTTCTGGGAAGGCAGCATCTGTCTTCACAATTATATGGCAGCCAGAGGGAAAGTAGTCAGGATTATGTCTGTTGGACTGCCATCAAGCAGTCTCTTCACTCCACCCATTCCAAAAATGCTACTCATGACCCTTAACGTGAACTTGCATTTACCTGCTTGCATACAGCTCCTACTGACTCAGCAATGGGAATAAAGGATTTATGAGCTGGGTCTTAATTTGAAGCTCCTCAAAAAGTGTTTTACAACCTGGTCTGAGGATGATTAAAGCTTACTGTGCCATTAACCAAGATATACTGAGAGTTATTAGTCATCTCCACCAGCACCCTGTAGATATCTGGGACATCCAGGAGTTTCTCAAACGGTTAGTGGAAATCGAGGGCTTGATTCAACTGCACACACATAAGCATCTGATGACATATGAGGTACCCTGAGGTATGCCAGACATCCACATGGAGCAGAAAGGTATGATATGGGATACTGGTGCCATTCTGAATGAAGCAGTAGCTGCAGGCCAGGTGGAGTGCCTAGAGCACCTTCAATGACACAAGGAACCCATGTGGGCAACCGAACTAAACCCCTAATCACAACAGTCAAGAGTGCCCAGGGAGTGACTCTGCTGACCAAACATGTCTACCCACCCTCTGGCAAACTGCATTACTCTCTGGGCTCCAGCTGACCATATTAACCTGATCTCCACTGCCTGATAGCAAGTCACCTCCCTCTGCAGTTTCAATTGCTTGGGCTCCACTGTCCAGCCCTGGTAGGGCCCAGCTGCATGGCCTTGGTTCAGCATGCTCAGGGGATTGCTGCACCCTGAGAAAGGGCTGCACAGCAGAGCCTGGCAAGGTAAGGCAGAACCAGAGATGGAGGTAGGGTTGTTGAGGTGAGGTCCACGAGAGAAACGTCAAAGTGAAAAGGTATAAAATGCTAGAAAGGAAAAATAGAGAGTCAGAAAATGGCAGTTTGGTGACACTGGCCAGTGAAGACATATTTGATGTCTTGCAGGGGGAGGCAAGCATGTTAATGCTTAGTCTAGTAGCTTGCTAGTCATAACTACCTGTATTAACCAATAAATTATTACTTTACTTTACACTCTTAAATTGTGGGTATCTGCTTGCAAGGGATTATTTTGCAGATGCTGGCAAGTGTATAAGCAAAGTGACTCAGGGGGTACAGACTGTCAGGGAATGCAGGTTGCAGAGGAATTTTGTTATTCTGAAAGAGGATTAACAAAAGCTGAAAACAACTGTGTAGTCTGGTGTTATAACTATTCAAATTAGAAATTTATAGCTTGGAATTTATGGTAGCAATATAAAGAAGGGAGAAAAGGAGGGAACAAACTTTTATATCCTGAGGAACTTTTTAAGAATGTCCTCAGTTCATGGGAGCAGGAAGCTTTCACGGGAGAGGGTGCAATGAGAAAAGCAGGGAAGGCATTTGTCGAGAGAACAATTCAGGACAACAATTTGTCATGTCAAGAGAACACTAAATTTAAAGCCAATACTCAAGTTTCTGCCTAATGGGCTTTATGTAGAATTGCAGAACTTGGAATGACTGCTGCTTTATAGACAGAAAATGTGGAATTGAAATATGAAATGAAATTGCTGAAGGAACAAGACTGGAAACAGTGCTGAGCAAGGGGAACAGGACTGGTGGGAGTGAGCTTATTTGTGTCCCTCTGCTGCAGAGCTTGCATTCAGCACTTAGGTGTGAGACCAGACAGCATGATGAATGGCAGACTGGCAGTCAAAAGAAGTTCAAGCAGCTGTGAAGGGAGTATTGAAAGAGAAGTAATTTGTGGATCAGACCATTTGGCTTGCCAGAGGATCATTCCGTCACTGCAAAGGGCACTACAGAAAAGCAGAGTATGGTTCCACCTCTCAGTGCAGGGTTTGGAGACAAATAGGTTGGCCCCTGGGACTCTTTGATTTGGCTCAATCTTTTTGATTTGGCTCTGCAGGATTTCCCAGAAGGCACACCCCTGTGCTCTCTGTATACTGCTTTGCAAAAGGAGTTGAAACAGATTATGCTTCCCTCAGCTCAGATGGCTCTGGTTGCTACCACAGTAGTCCCCAAAATTGATGTGGATGTGCATGAACAGGAAAGTTCAATCATTAGATGATTTAACCTCAGGTGTCAGGTCCCTTGAATGATACCACGGCAAAGTGGATGGTGGGGCTTCTAGAAACCCCAGGAGTGTTGGTTAAAGATTTATATTTTATTGCTAGGACATCCACCACTCCCCTCTAATCAGGCAGTTTTATCAGCAGCTTCAGAAGAGAACTCACAGCATTGGGTGTGAAGGAGTCTGAAAGCATTACTGGCTCCAAACTGATGGGTGGTTGTTTTATCTGGAATAACAGAAAGCTGAGGAAGGACTAGAGCAGTAGGTATGAGACTCAGGTTTTGTGTGGGAAGGAGCAAAGAGGCAGCCTAATTAGGAGGACCAGGAACATAAACTTGCAGTGATGAATAGATTGGTACTGGCTGAGTGGACACCCACCCGACATACAAACACCTACATGCAAACATGAGCTCATCTGGGTCAGATGTTGATGTGAAAGTGAGCTAGGACTACAGCATTCCCTGATACTAGTGCTCTCAGGTAACTGCCATGTTCACTACAATTTACACCCCTTTTCATTGACAAGCTGAGGTTCCTTTTGGACATAGTCATGCTGTTTGCACTCTAGAACATCTCTGCTCTCTTGCTTTAGAAATCCATTTCCCATTTCCAATGTGAATGTGTTCATGCCTGGTTTATACTTGTATTTGTACTGACACCATCCTTTAGTTCAACAGAGTCCAGAATGGGTTTTAGTTTGCCCTGAGTGGACATTAAAATGTATATAAAGGGTAGATCCTGCTAGAATAGCAAAGGCAGCTCTGGTAGTGTCCTGTAAGTCACTGCTGCAGCAGTACTGCATGGACCTTTTTGGGACCATATGGTGCATCTGAGCACACCCAGACCACTTCATCATGGTTCAACATACATGGTGTATCTTGTTGTGATAAGCCCATCATCTTTTCTTGGCCTGTATTTTGTGAAAGAAGGCAGCTTGGAATATGCTATGAAATGTTCTGGCCTACACATTTGGCCTATTTTTTTTTTCCTCTCACATTTGCACTCATCTATGAGGTGTTTAATCCTAACCCTCCTCAATTTAGGCTGTGTTAAACTGCTTTGCTGGTTGTTTGTTGGTTTTTTTGTTTTGTTTGGGTTTTTTTTTTTAAAAAAAAAGGACATTAGTTGGTTTTTTCCTTTACCTTCTGATACTCAGCAATTTTGAAATAAATAATCCTTCCTTCTCATAGCAGCTCCCAGTCTTATTACAGAAAATACTCAGTAGAGCATCTTCTCTGACTAGTCTGGAAGTATTTTACCTTATAAAAAATATGTTTAGTCCAAGAGACATTGTGACACACTGCTATATTAGATAATTAATCTTTTCTCTTGAAGTATATTCTGGAGATGATTAAGAAATGTTTAAAATCTGACTACCAGCATAAACTATAACCTGAATATAAACACCTATTTGGATGGCGTGCATATGTGCCAAGATTGCATAACCATGTTGTATCTTTTTAAGGATGTCAGTAGCATGTAATTGATTTTACACAATTTATATATTTTTGCACTCAATATTTTTTCAGTTACCTTTTGTTCAAGACCTAGCATGTAGCTTTAATGCTTATAAGCTGGCAAGAACCAAGAAGACTCAGTATCTGACCTGTTTATGACAAAACATGTATATAGAGATAAGAAAATGAGAAAGGTAACACAGAAGATATCAGGGAGAAAACAAATTAAAAGAAACAGTCTGTTAAGAGTATTTTTAAATGTAGCGATTTGAAGATATGTGCATGAGCTAATGTGCAAATATTAATACAGTGGGAAATCAAGTGGGATGGCAACCATATGGCACCATATCAGAAGAGCTCAAAAGAATTTCCCAACCAAGCTTATTTCTCATTTTCCACACAGCTGAAATGGGTGAAGTTGATGTGTTTGTCTGTAATTGAGTTAATTCACATGTGGCTATTGATAAATATTTAGAATCTGAATAAGAAATGTTTGTGTTAATGATCTGATTTTCCCATCAAACAGAACAGAGATAAAGCTGCAGCAACAAAAATCACGATATGCACGTCATTCAGTGCAAAATGGAAAAAAACATTCAATTTAAGAAAAAAATATTCTGCAATGACTGCTGCAAATGACAGGGACAGTAAATACGCTATTAAAGCAAACAGCTGCTACTGTGATGATGCCCTGTTTAGGGTTGTTTTCTTTAATTCTTCAACTTAATCTGATGATGCATATTGAAAGTTTGTAGGTTCTTTAAAATTTCTTTTACAAATTGCTGCAGTACTTTCACAGTATGAACTCTCTTAGTATAAAACTTAATCACAGGAGTGCAATTTCACATGCAAGAAACCCCAGAATTTTTGTTTTAGTGAGGAAAAAAAAAAGTTCCATCGTAAAACATGATATCTCAAATGATGCATCTGAATTATGCTTTATCAGAGTAGTTTGCTCCTGCCAATTCCACTTCCATGCTAATGCACAGCATGTCTGTAACCACAGGATTTTAGAAAGACATTCCAGCACTGTAACATTTTAAATAGCCATGATCCAGTGCATGCTCAAGGATGCACTTTAACTCTTTGAAGAATCCATTAAGTACTCTGAGCTGCTGCATACTGAATTTATTACAGAGATTTCCTCAACTACAACAAGTTGTTGGAACCAATGTTTTACAGTTATTCAGCTTCTGACTTTAAAGTGTTTATAGGATACTAAATTGGTTTGGTTTTATTCTAAACCAGTGTTTTAAAGAGACATGGCTAGTTCAATAATGGTCCCTACTATGACTAGGCAGCTCCAATGATATAAAAAACAGAGACTTACAGATCAGGTATTTTGGAAATACTGCACTATTTGGGAAGTGATTACTTCCTGCACAGCTTCTAATTTTATTATTCAGTGCTGCCTTGTCAGAGCTGGCTCTTGTAGCATATGGGGTATTTCATCCCTTTACAATAAAAACTAGAATCTCAAGAAAATTTAAAAGAAAAAGCAAGAGATTTTAAAAAAATATGTTCTTAAAAAACCCCAACCTTGCATGCCTCACTCAGCGCTCATTCACTTTAGCTAGAACATAAAAATCTGAGGTACTGATTAGATGATGATTACTCAAAAGTGAAACATGAGAGTCATCACCTAAACTGAAACTACCAAAGTTAAACAGTAAAACTAATACATTTGTAACATTCTTTCAATTTTACAATTAAACATATTTGAAACATAAGTAATCTTATAAAAATTATGCTTACTCTGATAACATGCAATTAGAAATTTTATATGTTTGTTAGTCATCTTTGACAAACTATGCAACATAGTCTATGACAAATTCTGGAGGGGACTACCAAGAGCTAACTTCATGGTATTAAATAAGTTAATAGTCTCTAAATACAAGGGTATGCATGGCTACATAGAACTCAGGCCAAATATATGGAAACTACGTTCTTTAGTTATGATTCATACCATAGCCAGTATGATGAGATACTTTATTTAATTTATAAAAAAGTGTCTGGTTCAATGTGGTAGGTGTGCTTTGTCTCACTGTCACCTATACCTGAAGGAGTGAAGGGACTGAAGAGATTGTGACCCAGTGGTGGATCTCAACCAAGTGAAAGACAAATGTGTGGCCAGAAATCATGGCAGCCCTTCAACGAAAGTCCTGTGGACTGGAAAGCTGTCAAAAGGTGGCTGTTGCTCACCACTGCTTTGGTGAACTCTAAAGACAGATTTGCATTACTTTAACTGAGGCACAGGTCAGAAGAGCTGCCCTCACCTAAGATGACAGGTCGTGACAGTACTGAAAGGAATTTCAACTCTCTATTTTTGAAGTGTTTGCTTTGATTACAGCTACTGTCATTATCCTTCAGGCTAGCACCAGGACCAGTACTTTTCGCTATTCTCAATGTTTCTCACCTTCCTGAGCACCTAGAACTGCATTACTTATCCAGTGAGTCTTGAAGGAGCTGAGCTCCATCTACTGACTAGCACCGTTTTCTAAGAACCCCACCTATGTTCAATAGACTCATGCCAAAAGAGCCAGTTTGTTCCCAAATGGTAAGTCACATGCATCAGGCAGCAGTAAAGGGCTTGGAAACTACTGGTCTCCCTTTTGGCAGATGTTTGTGCAGAGAGCCTTTGCATTCATGCCAACTGGCTCTCCCAGCTCACATATTCAGTAAATTACTCAAGATTCAAGATATGTCAATATAGAGCATATATATAGAAACTCTGCATCTGCATTCAAACCACAACTGAATTTAGACTTTAAACCCCTCTTTGTTAAACAGAAGCCAATAAACAGTGGGTGCTCTTAACACACTGATACACATGCAGCATTATGCCTTACCTTGGCTAAAAGAAGACTTTAAAATTCCATCTTCCTGTCTGTCTCCAGAGCGCTCTCAGCTAGGGACAGATTAGTTATGAATGAGTGAGGTACAGCTCCCCTTACCTGTTTCTGCTGTACAGCAAGCTGCCTCCCCCATTGACGTCAAGCTCTTCCTACTCCCAAGAGCTGCCGACAACACCACTGGACTATGCATGCAATTGAATTGCATCAGGACTGGGAAAAAAGTTTCTCTTCTGACTAGAAACTATAATTTTGTATCATTAATTAAACAAAAACAGTGAATACAGAACTCAAAAACTAAGTTTTACTTCTTTTTAGGTTTGAGAGTGCTCTGCTGTCCTGGTTGATCCTGTGGTAAGTCTGCTCATGTTCAATATTAAAATAAAAATTAGCGATGTACGCTGATTACCACAGCAGGTAAATTGTCCAGTCCTCATTTTAATGGTCTCTTCTTGATTTCAATCCCAGACGTACCCCTATTAGAGGGAATCACAACCCAACGCTCACATCTTTAGGACTTCCTATCAGTACACCAGAACATCAGGATGGAAATACATACAGATTCTTCACTGTGCCAACTGTAGATGCGCAGGCTCTCAAAAAAAACCTTAGCAATGTAAATTCAACCTTTTGGGTAACACACCCTCCTCTGAAGCCTTATAAAAATACCAGTGCAACATAGAGCCATTTTACAAAACAATTATCTTTATAGAAAGGTATTTTAGTGGTATATGCTGAGGTAAATAATAAAAACAGACCCAACAGAGGGTATGACCAGTGTTATGGAGAACTCCAGATGAAATCTGGCCAAAAGCCTGTTTTATAAAAGCTAATATTTACCTACCAGTTATGATCCCTGGTAAGGTGCTTATTGCTGTAATACTTCAAAATTATTCTTCAGTTTACAAATTGAAAAATATACGAAATTAGATCTGTATGAATGTTAGGTATTAGCTGTCACAAATTTTAAAAGGCATTGTACCAAGTTTTCTTAATTGTTTACTAACCAATTTGATTGTAGCAGGTAAATAAACTACAGCATACACTTTACCTGACACCATGCATCAAAATCACCATAAAAACTAAGTTTATCAAAGTCCAACTCCACAAGGAAAACATGAAAAAGTGCAAATTATGTACCCAGTATTTCTGTCACAGCTGCTTTTTCTTAATATGGCATGAAAAAGGTTTACAGCATATATTAAGAAAATTCTTACAAGTGTTCACCTCAATGCTTATATATACAACATTTTGCTCAAAGTGCTCACTATATGAAAAAAACTGATTGGATAAAAATATTTAAACAGTGCTTTCTGAACGTTCAGGGAAATTCATATAATACATCAGTCCCATTTGTTTTCCTCCTCACTCAGTGCAATGAGATGCTGAAGTCACATCAACTTCACAAAAACTTCGCTTGCCACATTGCCAGACAACCTCAGTTACAGTGGCATTCTTGGTGTTCCATTGGGAGTGGGTCTTTTATTTTTTTGCATGTGGCTTTGATGTTTTCGAGATCTTACTACTTTCATTCTCACTTCAAATACTTCTTGTATGGCTTTTCGGAAACAATGGAAATTGTAGTCTATTAATCCTAGAGAGACATAAATGTTTTCCATATTAATGAAGATATATATACAAATTGGGTAATTAAAAAATTGTTTATATTCTACATTTAGTGAAATATAACATTATCTCTGGAGATCACAATCAATGAATTTATCAGGCATTTTTTCTGTGCATGTTTTGTAAATACAAATAATTCAGTAAGCATTATAGCTTCATACTATGTCCAACACTAAATAGATTTTTTAGTCTTAAAACAAATAGAAGCTCATTGGCAGATTACAAAGCTTTAACTTAATAAAGAGCTTTGAAGCAGTGCTCAGTATACTACAAGAAAAATTACAGTATTTCATTTTGTAAATTTCTTTCACAGAGTAACTGTAATAAAAATAAGTAGCATCTAGTTATCAAAGAATTTTCATTTTTGACAATGCATAAGCTTTGAAATGGATACTTGATAGAAATATTACCAAGTAACAACCAGCTATACTTTATCTTACATTGTAACTGAAAAATAACACAGTAGACATTCTGTTAGATTACATACATACATAACAGGCAGATAACATTACCATGTGAGTGGGCTGAATATGATCCCACAGAAAAGCTGTAAAGCCATATTGGTAGTCAACTGGAAGTCTTACTGGGTGCTACCATTGTGTAATACTGCAATACAATTTTAGAATTTTGGTATGGAGCTTATGACCTCATTCAAGGTTAATGCCATAAGCTTTCTTAACTCAAATACTGCAGTGTTTTCCACTTCAATTTCCGTAACAAGAGATTATATGTATTTTAAATGGTTTAAATCCACCATGTTACACTTCGATTTTTTCCCCAGGAATTATTTTGCCTCTCCCTAGGAGTTCAGACAAAATATTACGTGGAGGTCACCAGGCACCAAAAGCTAATCTGCACTACAATACCAGAACTGTACTGTTAAAGAGTACAGGCTACAGCACAAAGCATCCTAAACTATGTAGACACAACAACCTGACACAGTTGTGGATAAACCCTAATGGGTGTTTATTTAACATGGTGTCTTTATTGAAACAGTGTTGTTAGGTATGTTGAAGTAACACTTCTTAGGCTTAGAGCAGCAGAAGAAAGTGACTGCATCTAACATTCACAGATAATAAAGGTGGTATGGGTATGAGAGAGAAATTCAACCAGTTCAAGTTCTATAAAATAAAAGCTACATAGCCTATCAAACAGTCCAGCAGACATGGTATGAGTACTGCATTCACAAACACACCTACACTGACTGGTGAATTAGTATTACAAGATGAGGACACAAGCCCAGATGATGCCTCTTTCTTCCACTGGTCAGTTCTAGGGCATCTCACTCAGACCGATAACTCAGTGGACATCTGAAATGCTGGGGTTTCAACCCCAAGCCCCCAATTAATGTTGACATATGGGTGATTCCCACAGCCCTTCACAACGGTGGGGGAGTGTGGGGTGTGGGGTGTGTGAGTTTACCTTTAAGCTTCCCTCCAGGGTTCGGCCGGCCTGGCAGGGAGAGCCATTAGGTAAATGAGCCCCAGGTGTCTGCATTAAGTAAGCAAAGGTCAGGTGTCCCACTTAGGGGATAAAAGCTGGGACCACTTGCAAGAAGGGGCAGTGTCTGTCTGTGAGGTGGATGCACTTTGTAGAGTTTCCTCTTGGGGAAGGACCTCCTAGCTCCCTGGAACTGGGCTTCAGTCAGGCCTGGCTTTTCTGAACGCAGGCTGTGTAGAGATTCAGTATGTGGCTTCCTTGATCTTATGTATTTGGTTTCTTGACTCGGTTGTCTCCTGTCCCTTCTATGGGAAACTGCATTTATTCCACCCATTGTTGGTTGTGCAGTGTTGTTGATTTATGTCGATTATGTACAATCTGACTGACTTGTACCCCCAGTGCTCACCCATGTACTGACACTTTTGTATCAAATACAGTTTGGTTATTGGTTCATCTTTATGCTGGCTGTGTCCTTTATGCTAGGCTTAATAATTGGCAAAACAACATCATGTCAACAAGCAGAGCGATCATGAACTAAGCTTTCAGTATTGACTATGACCAGGGTCAGAGAGATAACCAAGAAATTTTATGCACTTCAACTACAAAATATCAAAGCCACCCAGGTCCCAAATATGCAGCTTTTCAAAAGCCTAAAAGCCTCCTTTGAAAGATGCGAAAAGCAAGAACATATTTCTTTCTATCGTCTAGTTTCAATAATTTTCCCTTGGCTATGGCACACAAGCTGTTCCAAATGCATACGCTGGTGCCAACAGGTACAAATTGCTGTTAGCCAAGATAAACCAACACATTCTACTGTTGCAGATGGAAGCTTTACTGCACTGGATGTAAACTTTCACATGCTTTCATATCATAAAGTTGTCAAATACATTTAGGATTTCATCTTATCTTAATGCCAGCACAAATACTTCATGCCTTCAGACAAGTTATGTAAACTCTATCAAGCTGTACTTACCTTTACTATTTGTGATACAGCTAGAGACTGTTATCAGCTAATGACAAACATAGTTACTCATTAACTCGCTAATATAAGGGAAAAGTAATGCAATCACAGAAAAGGGAAAAATACCTTTTCTCTCAAAGCTTTCTTCTCTGACAAAACAAACAAGAGCAAGGAATTTTGTCACCTCTTTTAAATAAAGGACAGTTGTATTGTTCAGTTTTATGATTGCCATTGATTCTTTGTCATAAGGAGTTCCAGTGCCATCGTCTTTAAGCCTAAAGGGCAATATCAAACAAACAAGATAAACCATGAGATGAACTAACATAAGTACTCCCACATTGGTTCTTACACCAAATAATCTCAAACTTCATTAAATTTTCATTTTAACCTTTCAGGGAGACTCTTCTTCAAACTACACACTATGTAAACTAAGAAGATATAGAGATTAAATAATTTACCCAATCACACCCCAGATCTTAGATATGGGGCTAGAAATAAGATTGATTGATTGAACTAGAGCTTTATTTATTCCTCCATTTTTTCCTCCAAATTACAACAAGGTTGTGTTTTCTTTTCATCAATGCACTATATTATGACTTTAGATAAAACATGTGAACCTCTAAGTCTGTACTGATAATTACAAATCCAGTAACCTTGTTTGAGCAGTGGCAGCTGACTGACAGTTTAAGCCATGAGACTTTCCTCATGAGATGTTGGCTTTTGCAACGTAATATCATGAGAAGAGATTTCTCCTTCACAGATGATGTGTCATGATGATCACTGTGTTAGTTTTGTACCTTGTAATTTTTCCCTCATTCCTGAATGCACATGTAGATTTTGTTAAATGGATAGTAATCGCCAATCTCCCAGAAAAATTAGTATCAATAATATATTAAGGCAGCAAGTTCCACAGATGCTCCAGGAACAGAGGACAAGAAATGAATTGTAGTATTATGTCTTTAGCCTATAGCTAAAACCACCGCAAGCAGATTTCTGGTGATAAATGCTAAATGTTTACACAAAGACAGTGGCAAAGTGACATTTTGTGAATAGAATGCCCCCCAAGTGGTGTTGTACAGGTAATAATTAAATTCATAGTCGTTTGAACTACAGAGCAGCATCTTTCTCTGTACAAAACTAAAATACCACATAATCAGCATCCCCTATCGTATACCTCTGTAAAACACAAGTTCTTGTACAGTTACTGAAGTGACTGACTCCAAAATCTGAAACATACAGTAGAATATACCAACTTCAGAAATTTTAGAAAGGTATTCAACAATTTGTTATCATTTTTAATGCTTCTTGCACATCTGCACCAGTATTCTCCCCTGTACCTTCTCCAAGAGTGCAAGTCTATCAACAGGCAAGAATGCAAGGCTGACAAAGACTACCATACTCTAAGCATGCTGTGGTATTTAGCCTCATAATCTATGCATCTTAGTGCACTAATTCTTAATATGCACCTGCCTTTCCCATGAATAGCTGGCCAAGGGCTAAGCCACTTAAAACATAACTTGCCAAGAAGATGTACATGCTACCCCAGGAGATCTCCAGTTGCTAATGTATAAGGAGGGAAAACTGAAAAAAAAACCCGCAAAGGTCATGTAGGGAAAAAGAGAACAGAGAACTGAAGCAAGAGTGAAGCAGCCCTCTGAGGCCAGTAGAGGCCACTAGCTATTAAAGTAAACAAAACTAATATGGCCCCACCACGTTGTTTTTTTTTTTAAATGGGAAACATCCTTCTGCTGAATTCGGCCCTGGGGAACAGAAAGATAATGTTTCTTTTTATTTTAGGTTGGTTACTTTCCACTCCTTCCTTAAAATAAAATTACTAGCATAGAAAGGGGAAGGTGTTCGCAAAAGAGCCTGGGCAGGGAACAGTGCTTGCTGCTGGCAGGGGATCTGTACCTCGGAGGCCAGCCGTTTCCTCTTTCTCCCCTGTCCTGACAAATTGCTCCGGGAAATTACACTTTCTCATTTATTGTTTATACCCACATCATTCTAATTTTTAGGCCATTCAGATTCTAGGTACACAGTTTTATGAAAACCATTAACATTTTACTTACCCATATATACAAGAAATGTCAATCACAACATCTATCATATCACAGCAGAGCTCGTAAGTTTGCATATCCACTGGAGTACTGTCCGTTGCAATATAGATCTTACTGACTACATCAAATAAAAATGCTTTTTCAATCCCAGAATTCTATTTAAGGAAAGAAGAAAGAAAAATAAAATAGAAGCCGTATCTTCAAATTAATACCAAGCTTTTTTGTTCCCCAATTTGCCTGTTACACAAAAAGCTAGGCTGCAAGAAGTGGAAGTTATACCACAATCAGGGTCATTTTGAAAGAACTGTACATACAGCACTGTTGTATTTGTAGCAAACTCTGATGCTCACAGACCTTCCAATGGTTTCTGCCTCTGAGCAGCCATAACTCCAAGTTACACTCACAAACTTCCCCTCTCTGGAAAACATCTGGAAGGATTATTTTCAGTGGAAAATGCAAGGGGGGAAAACAATCTTCCAAGATCAAGCTTTTGGGGTTTTGGCTGTAACAATGGACATGAAAAGAGAGCTGTAATTTAAAGTTATTCTAGCTGGACATGTAAGAAGGTAAAAACAAGAAAAAACTGATGGACAAACAAGGCAGTAGAGTTCAGGAACTAATTGCTCAAGGAAGTTGAGAAATTGTCTCATCGGGGTCTGTAGCTGTTTTACTTTCTGGTTCCTTAGAACATCTTTTAGGATCACAGGAAAGACCAGTCATTTGATGGTGCTCTTTCAGTTTTCATGTAGCATTGGTGGTTAAAGCCATGTTTATAATGCTAAAGCTTGCTAATGTGATGACAGCTATGTTCCTGTCATCCTGCCAAGCTGATTAAGACTCTCTCCATACTAGAGATGTATCATATTCGCAGCTCTCAGAGGCCAGCCAGGAATGTTAGCTCATATTCTTTGTGTAGATAAGGTAAACTGCCATAAGGCTCTGCTTCCTGGAAAAAAATAGAGGAAAAAATGTGTACTGTTTAACCAAAAATAGTAGCATTGCTTGCTGATATCAAGGGATTGCACCTGGGTGGCTGTCCCAGCATGAACAGAAAGGGCAATTTCCCAGCATTGCTAAAGCTGAAGCTATAAAATATGTTTCAGAATTCACCTATACAAGGAAGAGAAGCAACTTTCTCTCATCAAACTGAATTTTCTCCATATATGGTCTTCCCTTTTTAATATGGTTTGAGAATGCTGCCACAGCAGTTTTGTAACTACCAAAAAAACACACTGAATACCCCTAATAAGTTTTAATGGCTTCAGCTTCCTTTGTAGTTACAGAACTTCCCTTTTTCTCCTTCTTTCTTAAGTCAACTATTTAACACATAATTAAGAGACTAAAGTGACCTTTAGTCAACACTTTTCAAATTTCCCAAAAATCGCTAGAAAAATTTCAACCCTAGGTATGCTACTGAACAATGGCCAGCAATATTATGGGCATTTTCTTCCTAAAGAAGCTTAGTTCTGCCACCATCACACACAGAATTAAGGCTGGAAACAGCCATCAATAATAACAGAGTACAGTGGTGAATTTCTTGCATTTCATTAAGGAAAAGACTTTACAAATGGCACATTTCAGTAATTCATTAATAAAAGAAATATTCAAAACACCATATACACTGTGGATACCTTAAGATACATGGGCTGAAGCACACGAAGTACAAGAAGAGTCTCAGAGAACTGGATTTGTTCAGCCTGGAGAAGACTCATTGCTATCTAAATACCTAATTTAAGGGTGTAAAGAGCCAAACCCTTCTCAAGAGCTACAGTGTTGAAGGACAAGAGGCAAAAGGCACAAGCTGGAATTCTGACAATACCAGGGAAAAAAAAATAGCATGAGAGTGGTGAAGCACTGAGAACATGCTGACCTGAGCAGATGTAGAGGTTCCATCCCTGGAGATACACAAAGCAGGACTGGACCCAGCCATGAGCAACCTGCTCTAACAGGCCTGACTCTGAGCAGGAACTGATCTCTAAAGGTCCCTTTCAGCCTACATGGCTCTATGGGTCTACGTTCTTTGAGCACTAAGAATAAAAACGTATAGATATTTATTTTGATTATTCTTGCCACATGTGCTAGTTCTGTAATTTTTAAATAATAATAATTTTGACAGCACTTCACATACTTCAACAGATGCTGCCAAATAAAACTAATCACAAGATTTATCTGTAAATATCATGTAAGTATACAGCTGTAATTCATTGCCAAAACATACATATTTGAAAATACAAGTCATTTTTGACCAAAGAAGTTGGAACTCGAGCCCTGTAGTGTCATTCATCAGGAGCTGATTATAGAATTTTCTATTATATAAAGGGAGACATAGTGATAATTTCAGCTGTACAGGTAAGATGTACCTTAAATTATTAAGATGCCAGTGACAATATAATAGCATTTAACAATGAGAAGTGATTCTTCTATCTCAGAACTCCAACTGCCACAGCCTGTCTGTACTTGCAGTGACAGTTTAAAAGGTTTCCATCTTGAAATGTTTGTCATGACAGCAGTCATGCTTGCTGGTAAGGGCAGAGCTTGGAGTCTTAACTTAAATCATGCTTGTTTTCAGTTGAAACTAACACAGTAGTGGTAGGACTTGCTGAGAAACTGGCACATATTTGCTTCTGTCAAACTCTGTATGGTGACAGAAACCTTGGTGAAAGGGTAGGATGGACTGCCAGGAGTAGTAACCACTAAATTGTACCCGCATGACTTCACAGATTTCATTTGCCAGGGCTTTTGGTACAACTTTAACTGAAAAAGAAAAGTATTTGCCAGAATGTTTGTGATTAAATTGTTCAAGGAAAAAATTACCAGTACAAACAATAATTACAAGTCATTAAAAAAAATCAGGAAACAGTGAATAAAAAATACTATTCAAAGAGACATTATATCATTAGTGCTCCATCAGGAAAAGTGACAATAAGAAATCAGCTGTTTCTGTTACTAGAGCAGGAGGGTTCCTTATGAGAGAAACAAAGGCCAAGAGCTGCCTTATGCAACTGAATAAAATGCTACCATTGATGTCAATGAGAGCAAGGCCAGAATAAACAACAGTCATCTCTGACACAACCCTACAGTCTGGAAAGAAGATGCAGCATGTGCTAGAAACACTGTGAATTGATGTAAGAATATTCCATGGCTACTCTAAATCAAGAGAATCATTGCGAAAAATCTTCTGCAATGAATATATGAGATTTTGTTTCAGACAGATAAAAACCATGAGGTAGTTGAAATTCAAACCATGTTTCTCAACTATACTGAGTTTGATAAAGTAGAAGGCAGTTTCTATTCTTTAAATGGAACGGCTTCAGTAAAACTGGTAGTATTACTCCAATTCCTAGGTTAGGTAAATGGGCCTATCTTTTCCCTTCTTGAAAGTATGAAAAGTAAGCCAGAATTTGGCCCTAAAAAGCTCATTTTTAAAAGAACTTACAGGGTATCACCCATCACTTACAGTTAGGAATGAATTCTGGACAGTTATTTAAAACAAGCCTAGCAGCATACAGCAAATTTAACGAATGAATTTTAAGTACCACATTTGAATTTACAGATTATTACATTTAAATCATTAAATAAACAAAACTCTACTTAGAGGGTTTTTTTTTACCATGTTAACTCATTGTTTGTTTTTAACACATACTTTTTCACATCCCTCAACCCCCACCCCAACAACCCTAAAACGAAAATCTACATTCCTGTGTCACACAACTTGATTGCTTGGTAAGGCCACTGTAATTAAAAAACAGACATCCTTCTATATGAAGCTGATAGAGTGTTAGGTAGGATTTATAGAGGTTTTGAATGCCAAACCAACTGTTCTTTTATGCTTTACAAGCAGTTACATTAAAGAACATAGAAGCAGTATTATCACACTGATGGTTCTTCAAACATACAAGCTAACACACTGGCACTATAAAGTTAGGCAAAAACCTGCTGTGAACTTAAAAGTGATCACAGATCTATTTTTGTAATCATCAGCTTTTCCTGTTGGAACTCTTCATGGCATAAATGAAAGCAAATCCTCATGAATATTGCTGCAAAACCCAAACTAGAACACCAATACACCCACACTTTGATATCCAGCACACTGGCTTTCTGAGGTAAGGCATAACCAAAATCCATGTCAAGATTTGTTGTCACTAAGTTGCTGAAGTAAAATGGCACCTGCTAACTAATTCTATGCTGGAGAATGTTTAGTCTTCCTGTGGTTGCAAATAAGAGTTATTCTGAGTGTCCTGTCTACAGACAGAAGGTACTCATAAAAACTGACATCAAGCATGCTGAGGACATAGCGATGCAGCTACATCTTGCTCTAGGTCATTAAAAAACTCGATTTTGCTCTATTTGGAGCTAAGAAACAGTCTGAGACTGTTTTCCCTACTGAACAGGGGAAATAGCATATCTCTCACTTTTTTGGACTTCATATCCATTTGAAGACTTGTTGTTCCTTAAAAATTACATCTGATATTCTAGATATTATTGGAACTGTCTTCTCGGTGTTGCAGACACACAAGCAACTGTCAGCAGTCATTTGGGAAGCAACTTGTGCTCATTCATCTGGTAGTTTGGCAGAAATTTTTCACCAGCTCCAAACAGTGAGGAGACCCCATGCAGAGATCAGACTCACAATGAGTGATTGGGGTGACTCTAGCACAAGGAGGACTATTATTCAGACAACTTTCTCTTCAAGACTGTGTAACATACTCAATATCCAATTGCTCCAGAACTGTTGCCATCACTCCTTCCTTACCTTTCTGTCCTAAGTGGACTTCAAGACTGGATGGTAACTGATCCAAAACTAGTCCAGCCATTTTGGTAGAAACAGATCTTTGCAACAAACCATTCATTATGAAGTAGCATCATTTGTTTTCTAATAGTAAGAGAACAAGTTTTGAAAAGACCTTCCTCTAATCCTAGCTCTCCCTTTCAGCAACACATCCAACTTTTCTCTCTCCATTTTCACACCCTACACTGAGAAACTGTGAAGTCTAATTTTATCTTACAGGCTGTTGAATGATATTAAATAATTTCATTACTTTAAAATCACAAAAAGGCACAACAAAATACCTTGCTTAGAAATTGAAGCTTGACAAATTAATGCTAGATGCAAGGTGCAAATTTAGAATACTGTGAGAAAGGATGCAGTTTCAGGAGCTGCTATGACCTGACTTCACCACTACCAAAACAGGGAGTTCCCCCCTTTTCACAGCCTACTCACTGTGTTCCCCTTTGCTCATGGCCACATGTTCCCATCTTTTATCTTGTGCCAAAACAAGAGGATGTTGGACTCCTCCATGACCTGCTTTTAACTAAATTAAAGAGTGCATTAGTGTGTGTGTGTCATAGTGACTCCACGAGGGAACAGGTGCGTGTCAGAACCAGTACAAAGGAGAGGAAGGGATCACACATACAGGAACAGTGGAGCAAGTAATTACCTCCACAGTGATAAGAAGCCACCAGATATACAAAGCTCTGTAATTGGCCTTAGGAGTAACTATGGAAGCTGTGAAAACTGTGATGGACTCTACCTCTAAAAATTTCAAGACGAGAAGATCTTCTTAAACGGGTTAAACTTTGATACAAAGTAGAATTAATTCTAGGAGGCACTACAGTCAGCCCTACATAAGAGGTCAGACTAGATGATGTTCCTTTAAGAATGTATTTACACAAATTTTAAGTACTACTTAAACAAATGCATGCAGCACAGACCTTTGCAACATTCAGATTAACATATGAGCAGGAACGCGATGGCTGCTAATCCACTTTATGTGATTCAGGAAACACTATGAGTATCTCACCAGCTCAGCAACACTGTTTAGGGAGGTGAGGCCAAGCAATGCAGGTGGGTGCATTTCAACTAAGTTTTGGTAATTTCTCTGAGAGTTCACATTGCTCATGATCTCTCAGAAGGCAGCAAACAGAGTATCTGAACATGCATGTTGGACACAGCTGGATCTACAGACAAAGTATATAACAAGTACTTACTGAAATAAAGATGTTAAGCAGGTTTTCCAGTGTTGGGAGCTGTGGAATCAGTTTCTGTACCACTTTGCTAAACGCTTCAAATATAGAATGATCATATATGCTTGTCAGATAAAAGCTGGAAAAAAACGTCACCACATTTTCCTTTTAGCCACATACTGTGAACATGACGGTACCTTTCATATTATGAGTGAAATGAAATATTGTCAAACAGCAAGCGCCTACACTTACGCAATTACCCCTTGTGATCAAAAGTCACACGTTATGATTGAAGCACAGAAATTCATCTCTACACAAAAAAAAACCCTAGACACTGCAGACTAGACCTCGATGTAGAACTTAATGATGCAACTCCCACCTTGGCATTCTTAAGAAAGTATTTTTCAAATTGCAGGAGAGGAATATTACTGAGTATGTCTGTTGTGATCTACTTTTTGAGAGCTGTGGACGCATTTATCAACGCAATGATGCAGTCAAGCTGTTAAGAGCTCTAAAGAGCTAGCATGTTCATGGAACAGGTCTCTAATATATTTGTACTTGGCCTTAAGTGCTAAGAAAGACATGACAACTTGACGTCCTCTAGTTCCCATCTGCAGAAGTCTACTAGTTTTCATTATTTGCTACAATAATCTGCTTTATCAGCAGACACAAGGCAAAGATACAGCACCTGTCTTCCCAAGTGGCTCCAAACAGGCTGCAGCAGTGAGGACTTAGTGATTGGGAGGGGACTGTGAGGCTGTGAGGGTTCAAAGAAGGCAAAAGTGATGTAGGTGGCATATACATTCTACTGACTACTGGTTGCTGCCACTGTCCAAGCAACTTATTAAGACAGCAGCTGCAGCAAAAACCTGTAAGACTCTAGAGTATCTGTCATCTGTATTTAAGCACATCTCCTCTCCATCTTTCCCTCCAAGACAGCAATCAGAAATAAGTTACTTTGTTTGGCTCAGGTCAAATGCAGTGTCTCGGATTATCCTTTTCCTTCATATATCAAAAGCTTGTTGCCTGCTACTTCAGGAAAACAGAAAATGGTAATTTGTCAAATAAGCTGCTCTCCTCTTTAGGATTCTCTGCACAGCAGCTTTTCTCACCTGAGGTGAATCTTCTCCAATCCAGCATCTGCAAGGTCATCATTTGCCCTCTGGTGAATATCTCTTTGTGTTTCAATCTTGTGATCATCAGATAAACCATCCACTTTATGGATAAAGATTTCAAAGTTGATATCTGGATTCACTTTATAGGCTCTGGTCACAGTAAGATGAAGTCGAGCTAATGCTTCCATATAATCATCCTAACAAAGGAAAAAAGAAAAGCTACAACTGTGGGAAAGTTCTTAAAAATATATGTAACATTTTATGATACTTTTAGATAATGCTATAGTTCAACAAGAGCTTAATTTTTTTAATTTCTTATAAGCAGAAGTCTGAGCCTACATCCATCATGTGCTCTCATGCTGTCAGCACTTAAGAATCTGAGCAAGAACCTTGAGATGTTAAAGCAAGTTAGTTACCTTTTGAACACACTGCAGAGAGAGATTAAAAATAACCAAGCAGCTCTTCCAAGTTTTAATGACTTTCTTTTAATGTGTGTTTGCGATGCAAGTTAAGTCATCTATTTGCTTTGAAAAAAAAAAAAATCTATGCTTTCCAATTTGTTTATTGATAGAGGAAGAAAAGAAAAAGGTCACTTTAAAACTCCTTTTTTTACCTGAGAATCAATAACAAATATCAGTGCTCCAGTGCCTCTGAAAATCATCTCATAGTCAAACGTAGGGTCAAAGAAGTCAATCTGCCCCGGAAAATCCCATATCTGAAAGTTGACAAAGGAGCTGTTGGAAACATCCTCTCTGCAGATCTTGTTTGTGCTCTCCAAGAAGAGAGTCTCATTTGGCGACATTTTGTGAAAGACAACTTTCTGAATGGAAGACTTCCCACTTCTTCTCAATCCCATGAGCAGGATTCTTGGCTTAACTTCAGTACTGAAGGGATCATTGAAATCCAAAACTGAATAAAATCACACAAGAAAAAAAGTAATATACTATGGCAATATAATTAGTAACTCCCAGATAACATGCATTTTGACATTTATTTTCATTATATTTTTACTTGGATATATGTAAATGTTACCAATTTTTAAGCTTAGAAAGTGGTGCTGCAGGCATTTTAACTTGAATTATTTGCCCCTTAGGATATACTACCAGAAAACCTACTTCTCACCTGTAAAACAAAGAGTCTGCAAAAGCTTGATCACTCAGTTTGTATGTGAAAAATGTGTTACCACACACAGACACCCTAGAATACTTTCTTTTACTCTAATTAATACTATACCACACGCATTCTAACCCAACTTTAAAAGAATATAATCTAGTAACAAATACCCTTGTCAACTGACTGCTACATCACACTGCTGCAAGAAGAGTAAGTTTGTGTTAGAGCTACAGGAAGAGGACAGCTCAGCAGGCACACAGTTCCTCTATGTTGGGACTTAGAGTACTGAGCTCATGAGGAGTCATTTTCTAAAGTGGTTACAATTTCACCTGTTGTTGAATAATCTGTGTGACAATCCATAGAAGTTTGTTATCCAGTAAATAAGATTACAGCGTATCTCCTGCCTATTTACAAAACAGAGGCCTGGTAATACAGTGATTTCATTGTTACCTACCCCAGTTTGAAACTAGTACCACCAAAACATTTTCTAGTGCTGATGCAGTTGTATTAGCATAAAGGAGTAAACTATATTGTTACATCTGTAAGGACATGAATGTATAGCTACCCATATCTGTAAGCATACCAACTTCAGTTTCAGGTATCTCTAATCAAAACACCTACAACAGCCTATAAATTGCTGCATTTAGTTGTTCTATAACTTGGAAACATCCCTTGGTGCTGAGCTGAAAACGGTAGTGCACATAGATGTAAAAAGCCTTCAAACACCTTTGTGATACCCTGTCTGCAGCATCAAATACAAGCAATGCAAGAAAATAAGTTGTCAGTGCTAAATCTGCAGAGTAGGGCTCCCAGCACAGAGTGGTCAGGTTTAAAACTGATCAGAAACAGGCTAAACACACTAGCCATGAGGCAGACTTTCTCTCACCCACTGCAGTACACATTATTCAACATAATTCAGAGCACAACACAATTGCATTTCTTTCTCATTTTCTATCGGGACAAATTTTGTATTGCATAAAACCAGCACACATTTGTTCATATGCATCCTTCCTACATATGCCCTGCATACATTAGGTGATCAACTTTACTCCAAGAGTATAAAAATCCAAAACAAGAAACCTCATCAACAACAATTTGAACCTGTCATTTTATTACATAGCCTTATGGCCCCAAAACCATGGAAAGCTTGAAGGAATCCCTTGCCTAGGAACACGTTTTGCACCTAGGGGTGGTGATCACGTCTGTCCTCTTGTGTTCCTCAAGCCTTACCCACAACTTTCAGAAACACAAGAGCAGGATGTGCCTACCAGCAGGGCACAGAACCTTGTTCACATTGGTTTGTGCCTTCTGAGCTTCAGTTACAGAGATGAGGACTTCTCAACTGAAGGTCCTGTGATGTTAGCATAAACCATCCCCTTGGCACCATCTACTGGCTCCTGGGTGGTTATGCCACTCAGAGTGGGCCCGTGTCACCACAGTGACTGACAGGAGTTGAATACTCATTATGGGTGGGATCCTATTAATTTTAAATACGTTTGAAAGGCCTTGACAGGCATTGCCACTTACTGCACTCTTGTCAGTTATCAGACATGAAACACTGCCAGGCTGGAGCAGTGTGCAGATGAAACCCCTTCAAGCAGAAGAGCAACAGCTACCTCAGTAAGAATCTCATCCTTCTAACACAGCAATGGCCAACTTCTGCTGGTCTACAGAGAACAAATTTAGGAAGTAATAAACTGCAGTCAACATGCTGGTGTACTCTTTCTGTCAGCCTCAACGGTATCCTCCTGTGGCTCCAAGAAACATGTGCCTACAATACTTCACACCTATAGAGGAATAATAAACCTTTGCTGCACAAAAATGTAACAATACGTTTTGGGAGGACAGTCTTGTCAATAAAGAAAACCATCGGTACAGGATTTAATGCTGTCTCCTCCACTCTCTGCTCTAACGTATAAATTTTCCACAGCTGCCAAATGTATAGTCAGAGTTTCATTAATGTTCATTTATCCATACATCATGCAATTTGCATTTTGGCCATCAGAAGGGAAAATAATTTATTCAAAGCTTTTCAAGAACTAGTTTGAATAAAATACTTTATAAATGCATATAAAGACCCATCTTCTGTTTGAGGCTTTATTGCATGTTTCAAAAAAATTTTTAAAACTCCCATTTGCTCTGTATGCAACAGAACTTACAAAGTCTAATTTGCTATGGATTTGTACTTTGTGTCCCCTTTCCCTCCCTACCACAGTAACACCAACTTCCCCCTGTATGTCTTATGACATATCCTCCAAATAACAGATATGACATGCTGTGGCTGACCTGGAGCTCAACACATGCTGGTTGGCTAGACTGTACACATGTCCATAGCAGTTTGCCAGCTGCTGCTACAGAGAACGCATACATCTGCTCACATGTTCCTCTGAGGACACTTTAATTTGGGTCTCCCGTCTCTTCTGAAAGCCAGATTCCATCAAACTTGTGGGAATTTAATCATTTTTGAGACATCTTTTGTTCAAATTGGTTGAAAGTGGACAGTAGTTTCCAAAGTTCTGACCAGTGATTAGACAACCAAAAGACAGGCTACCTACTTAACTCCCTTTTCTTGAAGAAAAAGGCTAAAAATGCACATGTATCTAAAAAAATATTTTAGATAACTTGGGGTTTTACATTGTTGTATGAAATTATGACAGGCTGTTAGATTTTTGTGGACTGTAACACTTAAGTAGAAAGAAATTGCTTTATATTAAAGCCATACTAAAAAAAAATATAGTTGCAAGTGCAAATCGAGTTACTAATGGGAATGAACGCTAGGTCTTCTGCTAGTGTGCCGGTTTGGGCTGGAACAGAGTTAATTTTCTTCACAGTAGCTAGTATTGGGGCTATGTTTTGGATTTGTGTTAAAAACAGTGCTGATAACACACAGATGTTTTCCTCATTGCTGAGCAGCACTTAAACAGAATCAAGGCCGCCTCTGCCTCTCACCCCACCCCACCAGCGAGTGGGTTGGGGGTGCACAAGAAGTTGGGAGGGGACACGGCTGGGACAGCTGACCCCAACTGACCCAAGGGATATCCCAGACCACATGGCATCATGCTCAGCATAGAAAGCTGGGGGAAGGAGGAGGAAGGGGTCTGTTCGGAGTGATGCTGTTTGTCTTCCCAAGTAACTGTTACATGTGATGGAGCCCTGCTTTCCTGGGGATGGCTGAACACCTGCCTGCCAATGGGAAGTAGTGAATGAATTCCTTGTTTTCCTTTGCTTATGTGCGCAGCTTTTGCTTTACCTATTAAACTGTCTTTATCTCAACCCACGAGTTTTCTCACTTTTACCCTTCTGATTCTCTCCCTCATCCCACCAGGGGTGAGTGAGCGAATGGCTGGGTGGTGCTTAGTTGCCAGCTGGGGTTAAACCATGACAGCTAGTAAGACTGTTATTTAGCTTTTGAAAACCTGCCAGTTCAAAGACAAGGAAATGTAAATGAGTACCATCCAAACCTGACTAGATAGCAAGGCTGCTATAGCACTTTCCTCTCAGAGAGAGTTAAGAGATTACCTTATATGTAAAGGAATTGGACGATGTGCTGCCTGCCCACATTCCTTTGCAGAGTACATGACAACTCCTTCTTTAATTTGCCACAGAAATGCCAGTAGATGTATCACTGCAACTTCCCAGACTAGGTTACTGAGTGAGATCATAATATGTCTAAGAGGAACACTAAACCCTTCTCTTGTTCTGTAATGGGAGAGACAATTTTCCCTATTGTGAGATGCAACACATTTCCTGCTTCATTCACTTTTGCAAAGTGTAAATGTTATAAAAGGCCAGTTTCTAATGCCCATCAATATTCCTTCATATTTCAAACTTTCTAAGCAGCCATAAAGAAGTCTGACTGCATAGAGGCCATATCCCTTGAAGCTTTCACAAGTCAAACTTAACAAACCCCAAAGCACTTTCCCCACAGAGAATTCTCAATTCTTTACAAAATTTCTGTAATTGCAGTTGTGTCCTTGCTTACAGAGTGCAATCCGCATGGGTTGCAACATGCGGAAGAGCCCAGCTTAGGAGTAGTTAATTGGGAACAGCACATAGTAGTCCTGACCTGTTTCACCAGGATGCATGGTACACAATGAATACTCTAGTATCTTCTTCATGCTATTAAGAGATATTCATTGATAGTTCAAAATCATTTTTGAAGCCTATCCTGCATTCCACATCAGTTGCAATTAATTGTCAAAGCAGCTGACTGTCAGTGCTTCACAGGCATATGTGATGGGGATGCCACATTGGAAAGTGTATTTGTAGATCTTACCAGTTTTCAAACATCCAAATACAGCACTGCAGTTCATCTGCTCAAGTGATGTCAAGCCAAAAGAAATTATTTTGCTCATGTTACTGTCTGAAAGGTAACAAGCCTCTCAGTCTAGTTTTAAACTAATATAGCTAATAATGGTGTTTTTTTTCCCATCTATGCAAATATTTTTAACCTTTTTTGTGTAAAGGAGAATTAGCAGTCCCAAATCTTCCACTCATGTACCTCCAAGCCCACTGATCTCGTTACATTTCCAGTACTTCTGCGATTGTGACATCTGCAGCACTTTGGAGTGCTGTCAATAGCCTTACAAAGCACATACAATGAACACCTTCAACACCAACAGATGGCCCGAGTCTGGTGAGTTAACAGAAAAAGCTTATATGCAATCAAGAAAGATGTTCAGCTACTGTGGGTTCGTAAACACTGCAGAGATGCCTGGTGGAAGGAAATTCTTGTGGCTAAAGAAAACACTCAGAACGAGAAGACCTGGTTCCACTCTGCCACAAGTGTGCCACTCCACAGTATGGTTTAAAGGTACTTCCTTGGACACTCTACAGAGGGTTTCCTCGCTTCTAAATACTTTTTAATTGCATATATCAAACAAATGACTAGGCTTTACATAAACTAAGTCCTTTAAGGTCTCTGAATATGACCCCATGTGTAAAATAAAAAGATTAAGAGGACAAGAGCTGTGGTTTCAACATTTCGGCTGGAGACAAGAAACCAGTATGGGGTGAGAGATGACCAATACAAAGTTTTGAAATTTCCTGTATGCCTATAAACAGAAATTATGTTTTTACTTTTAAGCCTGGCTTCTTCCTTCACTTTCAACAGCCACACACTGAAGCTGTTCTCCTTATATTGCTCTTTCCATTCTTTCTTTGTAGAAAAGTGGAGGATGTGACACAATTTTGGACTACTTACTGTACAGATTCAGGAAGATAAGAGGACAAAAACTGGGAAAAGGGAAGCCCCTTGCCCTGCAGCCCAGTGTCAAATACACAAAACACAGACCCAAATCCCAACCCCCTCCATTACAGATGCTCTATGCCTCTTTCTCCAGAGACTTCAGAGTGAAACAGAAAGCCAGGGGATCTGGACTGTTAAAATGGCCCTTTGTTAATCCTACATAAAAAAGGTCTCTGCATGGACTGTCTTCTGCTATTCTGGATGTAAAGATTTCGTTCTGTTAAGTACAATATTTTGGTGTTACTATAAAGATGCAATTGAAATTTTTAGTAGTCTAACAGAGCTCCTATTAAAAAATATCCAATAAATTCCTCTGAAGACAATATGGATTAGTTCTCTACAGAAAATGCCAAGTTAGTTTAGCACTAAAGAAATATGCTTAAATATATTCTTTTTGCATCGAAATAACGGCAAATCTTTAGCAGTTTCAAGTAAGACTTTGATTAGCCTCAGCTAAGCTCTTACATCCTAGCACTCCCACGGTGGTTATACTCAAAGCACTGATGTTTGCCCCCTCCCCAAAACTGCACTAGTCAACGTGATACCTCCCATGGCAGTCCGTAGGACTGGGCCTTTAAGGAGAAGGGTTCTGCATGCTAATAATCAACGTAGCCTTAAAACATGTGGCCTTTTATTGCGCTTTTATAAAAAGCAATTCTTTTTTCGCCCTGAGATACTACTGAGACTTCTCCAAGTGCCTTTGTGAAATACGTCTCAGAAGAATGAATTCACGCTCTGAATGAAAGCAACAGGCTCTGAGCTGGCATTGCCTTTTTTTTTTTTTCCTGAATGAGACTGCTTTTCCTGGTAAGCCTGTCCTTCTGAGCATCACCATCCATCCTGACAGATCCACAGCGAGTAACGTGGGTCCTCACATGCACAGACAGACGGACACCAGACACTGAGCAGAGCCTGCCGCCGTGGGAACTGACATTCACAGCTGCAGAGCAGCCCTGGACACAGGCTTGTGTGTTGTCGCTGCCTTTTATAGCCTGACACCCAACCTCCCGCCTCCTTGGCACGCTCAACTCACATCGTCAGGCTGTGTCCACTAATAACTAATAACTCTCACCCCAGACATGGAAAATACTGAAAGGAGATTACCCACACACACACTCTGCTGCACTCCTTTTGCCTCCTCCCTTTTCCCCAAGGCTTCCTGCTACCTGCCAGCCCTTGCCTGCTCCTGCCACAGAGCTCCCCGCTCGCTCTGACCCCACGGTAGCGCCGGGTCCCCGTCCCGTCCCCTCCCACGGCCACCTCCGCAGCATCCCCGGCCCAGCCCGGCCTC